TTTTGCTTTTAATAACGCTAAGTTCTTTAAAAACTTTCTTTTGCTTTTTAAAAAGGTTAACGTGATTATTTTTAAGCTTAAAGGTTTTGATAAAGACTTTCGGATCAGCAAGCAGTTTAAAAAAGAATATCGAGTTCGGCGCTTTACGATCTATATTTAACTTACCTTTTTAAAAGCAAATAATCTTAAGTATATTAATATTAATATAAACTAAGATCTAATAGATTCTTTGCTCGTAGATAAAGATATAAGAAGACGAGTTATAACTATTAAAAACGAAAAACTTAAACAGCTTTTATTAAGCATAACGGCTTTAGCTATAGAGTTATCGGCATAATAACGACGCCGTTTACGCTAAGAAGCTCGCGGTAATCTTAAAGAAAATTCGAGCGAAGATAAAGCTTTTGCAAACGATAAAGATACTTTACTTAATATAAAAGATTACTTAAATGCTAACGATGATTTACTTGATGATTAAGAGCGTCTTCTTTTAAAGACTATAATTTTCGATTTAAATCTAGATATTACGGAATCTAATTAGTTCTTTACTTAAGTTAATAAATTTGTATCGAAGTAATATGTTTTTACTTTTGCTTTAAGCTAGCGGTCTACTTTAATCTTTAAATTAAAACTTAATCAAAAGCTTTTTAGTTTAGCTTTTCTTATATTCTTTTTTACCGGCGCAAGCGATTTTTATATTTAACGACTTCGAAAAGTTAGTATAAAAGATTATACTAAACACTTGATAAAGTATCGCGATAAACGTTTTGCAATTTACTTTCGTTTTCGGTTTTACTTTTTTAATATTCTAATGCGTTTTAAGGTCGTAAAAGTATTTTTTTACTTTATTAAGTTTCGGAAAGATATTAAAAACTTAAGTATTAATAATTTGCGAGATCAATTAAAAGAGCAGCTAGCCTTTTTTAATCAGATCGTGCGCTATGAGCAAGCTATTAATAGCATTCGTCTTTTTTAAAAAAAGCAAGGTTATTAGTTAAAAGCATTAGCTAAGTCTTAGCTAAACGCTATTGTTGGATTGCTTCCAAGCGATTGGGAATATATATTCGTAAGGTCGTAACGGTCGTCAAAGTACTTGCAATTGCAAAACACTCGGTTGATAAGGTATCTGAATTCTGTCTGCTCCTTAAGGCTCAAAGGAGCTGATTCTTTTTATACGATTAGAAGGAATCACGTGCACTAGCTAGCTAATAGGTTTACTTGTCAAGTTGGGAGTCCTTTAACTGCTGACATGCTAAGCGAGGCATGCCAAGTGGCCCGTGAACCATAGTTCACGAGTGAGCTTCCTTAACTACTACTACTACTAGCTAAAGTCGATATAGATATACCGACACCGGCAACTCTCTTTTTAGCAAGCAGTGCTTTGCCAATTATTATATCGACCGAAAAAGAAAGAAAGTAATTAAACAAAGGAAAATCAATCTTACTTTATTAAAACTCATTTTTCTTTCTCTTATAGCGGCCTTTCTACCTATCCGTCTACCTGCACCTTTAAGGTATTGGTCAAAACTAGCTCTTGCAAAGAGGTATTAGCCCCGACTTTGGTTATAGCGTTAGCAAGATTGGATTTTCCTTCGATCTAGCGTACTTTAAAGAGCTCCCGCCTTTCGTATGACTCTCGAATAGCTATAATATCGATTATGAAGCGCTTCTCTTTAATAGTTCCCAGCTTTACTATACACTCGTAGAGCGAATAAGAGTTAATGCACATAACTACGAGGAAATTAAGGATCTTTAATTAAGTTGTGATTTAAGCAAAAGTAGTCGATATAGCAATAGCTATATCGATACTTAAAGACATAGCGTATAGCTTAAAGGCTAGTACTGCCTTTGTTACCTTCTTGCACTTCTGTGACACCTAATAAAAGATGTTACTTATTAAAATGAACTCGTTCTCACTTACGTAAGCTTTATTACCGAGGATAGCTACGAAATCGATCTAAAAGCTAAGATTAGCGTTGTTAGCAAACGCTCCGTCTACGAACATAAAAAGCTTCGCCGTCTTTAAGTCTAAAGGCACGTAATAGATCCTTCGAGTTAAGTGATCGATTAGCTATTAGATCACTTTATTAAGGGCTTTGTAGTCCTCGTCCTTCGGTTCCTGGTGCTAGGCAGCCATCGATAGAGCACAAGATGCTTTTAAGTAGCAAATGGTAGCTAAATACGCCCTTCGGGCACGTTGCTCCAAGTACTCTTTAGCCCGTGTGGCTAAATCGAGCTTGATTACCGCAAGCCTCTCTTCTTGCCCTTTTTGCTTAATTGATAGTCCGAACCCGTCTTTATCCAAAGATAGCTTGCATTTATTGAAAATCATTAGCTCGGCGTATATAAGGATTTCTATTTCTTTGCTCTTCAATTTAGATTTGACTAGCTCTTTCTCTTCCTTTGCCTTTATAGCTAGATTGATAACTATAAGAACATCATCCGTTTGTAAAGTAGCTATTCTTAGCTGATCTTTATTAGTTAATATAAAGAGGTAAAAATCAAAACTCGATTGCTTTATTCCGAAGTTATTCGTAAAATGCTTTAAAAAACGCTTATACTAGTGCGTTCTTGCTTCGAGGATCTTATATAAAAGGCTAGTTATAAAGAACAAAGTGCCGGAAAGGAATCGATAAGTGATCTTTTTAAGTAATCGCACGACGATTATTCGGATGAGCTTCGTGCTTAACTAAGTGTAAGCTTAAGTGATATTTTTGCTATAGACTTGATATTCGTAGTCTTTTATTAGAAAAAAAGCTAAAGCATAACAAAGTCTTTAGCCCGCTCGTTGCATCGTAAGTGATTCGGTGAATACCTTCGTTTTGCCTTTGTTTTAGAAAGCTTAGACTATTATACGAGACTTTTCGTATAGCGTAAGTGTTCTTTTGCCTTTGATCTTATTAACAAACTTAGATCCGAAGATCTTGGCGCTTTTAACGCGTAAGTCGATGCTCGAGATCACTTGGAAGATGCTTTAAGCTATCAATCTAGCTAATTCTTTTGCTTTAGACTTTTGAAATAGTGCTTCGAAGCTCTTGATGATTCCTTCGGCTCGTAGCTTAATTAAGAGCTCATAATCCCGGCGTTCTTTGTCGGTAATCAATACCTCGGAGTCTTTGATAAATAGAACGTAAGAATCGCCTTTTTTTTCGTCGAGTACGGTCGAGATATTAAGATCGTACTTTTAATAAGGTATCTGGACCATTAGTATTATTGACTTCTAAAGATTAGCAAGTTAAGGGTTAAAAGGGTTGTTTGTTAATCTTGGCGAGCTTCTTGGATTAAGCGGCCTTAGTAGATTAAGCGAATGTTAAAGTTTAAGCGAATTTCGTATTTCTAGCTCTTTTTCGCTTTCGCTTTGATCATCTTCCACCTCTTCTTTTACTTCTTTTTTTACTTTTACCTTAGGTACTTGCAACTCTTTTAGCAGCTTTTCAATTTCAAAGTAATAAGGTTTTACTAAAGTTGATTTAAATTCCGTAAGCTTCGGATAAGCCATTGTGCACGTATGCTTTTGCTTGCTAAGCAGCTGAAAAGGGCCCTTTTACTCTTGGTTTTCCCGCCATACGAGCACCTGTAAGCTAATAAGAAGGTCTAGGGTATGCTTCGTAATTAAGCCATTCCTCCTTTTAAGCGCGTCCTTAACCTGCTTCGCAGCGTAGCATTTTCGTACTTCTTTTATAACTTTGTTAATAGCAGCAGCACGCTCTTAAGTAAACGCGGCAAGTCGATCTTGCTCCGTTAGCTTCGATAGAGTCTTAAAAACGAAGAGTATAAGAACCAGGCCATTAGGTCCGGCTGTGTCGTTAATAGCTTTAATAGCTATTTGAAGCCGGTCCTTCCTTAAGGCTTTTAAAAGCTCTTTTGTGACGATCTTAAAAGCGCGTCGCATAAGGACGTAATAGCGTTCTACTAGCTCGACGCTATGATAAGCTTTTACAAGCATCTGTTTTAAAGTGCTGCTAATACTTTTAAGATAGCTTCGGAACGTTGCCGAATTAAAGTTAGTTTCGAGATCGTGTATTACGTTTGTAAGAGGTCCGACGTAAGTATTAACCCAACATCGACTAAATCTTTTAAGTAAATGCTATGCGGATATGCTTTTGAAGAAGATGGCGGCTTGAAAATTAATAAAATCGCAAACGACGTATAATACGTTCTTGCCGTTAAAGTGCATTACGTCTACGTATACCGTATTATTGAAGTCAATATCGTCTTTGAGTCTGATACTAAACCTCTTCGAAAAGCGTTCGAATACTTAGCAATAGTAGCAAAACTTTTGGATGTTGTAAAGCAAATCTCGCTTAAATTCGTGCTCGGCCCTTTTGAGAACAGTAGCGAATCGACCTGCTAAAAAGTGGCCAAAACGCTTATGGATAGTCTTTAATTGTTCTTTCGTAAAGTAATAGTAAACGGTCTCGCTTTCGGTACTGTAGTAAGTAGCAGCGTGTTCTTTACTTAATAGCATCTATACGTGCCCAAACATCCTTACTATTAATATTTCCTTCTTCTTTTAAACTAGCACGTTCCGCAAGTTATCCAAGATCACTTTATGCTTGTCTATGTCAGTTAATAAGAGTAAAAAAGGTACGTCGCTCTTTATAACGTAGAACTCTACTTGACTTAAAGGGGTATCTAAGGTAACTGCTCTAATAGAGGTGGCAGAGCCGATGCCGTATTTGACGGACTTTTCCTTTGCTCGGGATGTATCCAATTAAACTTCGAAGTACTTTTTTTAAAGTGCTCGTAGCTAAGGCAAGCTAGCGGTAAAGAAATTGGCTGCTCCGCTGTCAATCATAAAGCTTATAAACACGTTTTCAAAGTACTTAGAGGCTATATAAGTCTTTGCTTTGCTCGCGAGCATACGCGGATCTTGCTCGAGCATCTTTTAAGTCTTTACTTAGCTAGTAAAAGCGTAGAATGCCGTTTGAATCTTTAATTGTTTGTATACTTCGTTAGCGTTAAAAGTGCCGTGAGTAATCACAAAACCTTTTAATATGTTAGCGTAGCTGCTCGATTCGAGCGGCTCGTTTAGTAAGCTTGCGATAAACTGATCGAATTCTTCTATAGATACAAGTAGCAAGCTTTCGATCGATGCTACGTATTAAAAGAATTTGCTTTTCGTTACCTTTTTTGCGTCCTTAAAAGCTTAGAACTTGGCGACGGATGCCTTTCTTTCGTCGGAGGTGTGGTTAATGCTTTAGCAACCTGGCTTTTTGTAAACAAAACACCTTTTCTCACCTTTAATAGTAGCTTTAGCAGCTTTTTTACCTCCGAAGTATTGGCGGTCTTGAATAAAGCATTCGTATTCTTCGTCCAAATCGGAATCAGCTTTTAAGATGTTGTGAAAGCAGGTGTGATCGTGTGGCTCGCTAAAGCTCGCGTAAGCTTTACTTGCCTTAGCGAGAGGTCGAGAAGTCTTAATTGCAAACGCAATAGCTTTGCGAATATCGGCAATTGCGGCGGTGAAAGTAAAAGCAAGGTTCATTCGCGCAATCGTAGTCTCTGGCACGTTTTTATAAGCTGAATACAGCTTGTCAGCAAGACTTCGATCGTCTTTCAAACTTGGTCGTAAAGAGCCTTGAATCCCTTTGAGCTCTTTAGCGAGCTTTTTAAAGCACTCGCTAAGCGAGGTCCTTAGATTCTTTTTCTTGATCAAATCTAACGAAATTTTTTTTTAACGATCGTATTTTGCTTGCCGCCGGTGGTCAGTCTCGAAGTGGTCTTTTATTGCAATAACGTTTGCTTTGAAAGTCGGAAGCTTAGCTTTGATGACGTGATTATAATAGAAGGTTATAGCCTCTTTTATAAGCATAATCGGGAACGCCGTTAAGTAGTCTTCGGAGGTCAAACCGTATCGACTTGCTTGGTTAGCAAAAATCTTTAATTGAGTCTTGAAGTTATCGTCGGGTCTTGAATATTTCAGCTCCTTAAGAAAGCTTCGCGCGAACAAAGCCAATTCTTTCGCTTTTAAGTAAGGGTCTGCTGCTCTTAGCTTAAGGAAATCGTTTTTATTATCGTTAAGGGCGCCTAGAGTGCCGTACGCAGGCGTGCTTTGCTTAGCTAATAGTCTGATCGGTAAAGGGTTACCGATATAATTGCCGATGGTCCGTCCTCTTTTAAGGTCTTTAAAAGGCTCATTTCCGAATCCGAGGTCTTTTAAAGGTCCGTTTCCGAATCCTTTTAATGGTCTAAAGGGGCCGTTCTTACTTCTTTCGTATCCGTAGCCTCGATCTCTTTGCTAATCTTCCCCGTTCCTTTTTCGTCGGCTATCGTTAAGATCTCTAAGGCTATTCGGGTCACCGGCTGAAGCTTTAGCTTAATGATATCCGTATCCTTAAGCTTGCTTTTAGCGATTCTTATACCTTTAGTCTTTCTTTTGTTGATACGTAGCTTTTTAAGAGATGTGGATAGCTTGCCGGTACGTCCGAGAGTGCTAGATCCCCTTTTCGAGTTGCTAAGGTTAGGCACGGAAATCTGCACGCTGTCTTTAGTAAGAGTTGATTTTGTCCGGCATGCTTTTAGGTTTTGGCGGGTCCTCTTTTGGCGTATAGCTTTCGTAGCCTCGAGTGTTGTCTGGTCCGATGATAATCTTAAGACCTTTGTTGTTGTTGCTACTAGGCCCAAGCTTTTTAGAAAACTAAGTGTAGCTCTTAAGAAAGGGGTTTGAAGGCCGCTGAGGTGATTTTAGCTTTTCTTAGATGATTGGCGTATTGCGTAGCGATTGATAGATTGAGGGCGTTGAGTACGCTGAAGTGCTTCGTCGTAGCCCTTCGTTGGATTGTATAGCGTAGGTCCGTAATTCTGCTATTTGCTTTGCTATTACTTTTATATTTTGCTTTATATCTTTCCTTTCCTTCGCAAACTTTTCGCGTAACCTCCGAATCTCTTCCTTTTCTTCCTTTTCCTTCCCTTTTAAACTTCGTAAGGGTGATAGAGGTGCTTAAGGCGTATTATCTTCGTCGTCCGTAAGGTTTTCGGCGGTCCACCTTGAATCGAAGCTTAAAAGTGTTGCTTATTGCTTTTTTATTTCCTAGAAGGTCCATTAGTATTGCTGCTCGTCGTTTAAGAGCTTGACCATCTTATTAGCGTAGCCCTTTTGCTTTAAGGGGCACTATACGCCTTTGAACATCAAGTGTTCTCTAAAGCTAATAAAGATAGCAAACTTAAGGCCTCGTCTCGTATTGTCCTTCGTCATCGTAAAACTCGTTTAATCTTAGCGTAAGAAAGCGTGCCGGAATAAGCTTTATAAGTCGTAATCCCTTAGCCCTTTACACTTCGCATCCAAGAAGTCCTTTACTATTGCTCGGGCCGTAATCTTATTATCGAGCCTTGCGTATAATAGCTCGTTTAAGTCAAATAAGATGCCTGATATCTTATCGTCTAGTCCTTCTGAAAGGCTTAAGAGTCTTAGGTATAATGGTCCTTTTGGCTAAATAGCTAAGGGTTCCGTAAGTGATGATAAGACTCGAAAGGTATAATACTTTACTGCTCTTTGTCGGCTAGACTTCTTACTTAAAGGTCCAGTTGCTTAATCGGCTATAATAGTTGTCTGCTCGTACGTAGATCGATCGTATTAGTTAGGTTTGCTATGTGTAGCAAGCGCGGCTTTACAGCTTTAAAAGTTGTATAAAAGTGACTTGGTTCGGAATCATTCTTTCGTAAGAATAAAGAAAATCGGTAGTATAATAAGCGACTTAATACGGAATCGCTCTTCCGTTGTAAAAAGAAAGAGGTATCGTAGTAAAAGGTATCCTCGCTATAAAGTCCTAGCTTCTTTATGATTGATCATTTAATAGTAATTCAATTACTAATCAGTGTTGGATTGCTTTTAAGCGATTAAGAATATATATTCGTAAAGTCGTAACGGTCGTCAAAGTACTTGCAATTGCAAAACACTCGGTTGATAAGGTATCTGAATTCTATCTGCTCCTTAAGGCTCAAGGGAGCTGATTCCTTTTATACGATTAGAAGGAATCACGTGCACTAGCTAGCTAATAGGTTTACTTGTCAAGTTGAGGGTCCCCTGACTGCTGACATGCTAAGCGAGGCATGCCAAGTGGCCCGTGAACCATGGTTCACGGGTGAGCTTCCCCAACTACTACTACTACTAGCTAAGGTCGATATGGATATACCGACAGCTATAGCAGCTTTTCTTATATAGAGTGTTGCGGATATATAATAAGAAGACTTTTAACGCTATCTTTTTCGGTATAATAAATACAAAGCCGCTAATTAAACTAAGCGAGCTAAGATAATATAAAACAATGTTTAAGAAAACCCGGTTATTATTGCTTATTATATTTATATCCGTTAGCAAGCTTTTTTACAAGATATCTTAAGTTATTATTTATTGTATACTGATTTTTAAGCGCGATAAAAGTAGCAAAATCGTAGCTCGAGTTATATTTACGGTATATTTTATTTAAAGAAATTTAAATAATATTTTAAATAATACGATCCGGCGATCTTTATACGAATCGATACCGATTTAAAACTAAATTATAGCGGTTTAATTACGTATAACGCTCGTGCGTACTTAATAATCAAAGACCGAAAAGCTTTTCGCAACAAAAGAGCTTTTAAAGTCAAATCAAAAAGATATATAAGCTACTTAATTAGATATATAACTTTTAATATATACAAGGTCTATATTCTTATACTTTATAAAGTGATTATTATACGCAACGTAACGTTCGATAAAACTTAATTTTATTTTAAAAATAAAAAAAAATCGATCAGCTAATCGATTAACAAGATTAAAAGCATCGTTATTAAACTAAAAGATATTAAAGACTTTAATTAAATAAAAGACGCTTTATTTAATATAAAAAACGTTGCAAAAGATCGCTTAAAAGAAACGAATGCAGTTAATATAAAAAGTGACTAGCCGTTAAACTTTATAAAAGTTGACTTAAAAAGATTTAATTAAAGCTTAAAAAATACGACTTTATTTAATCCGAGCGATGCATAAACGTTAAGAGCTTTAACTTTAATTAAAAACTTTATAAATACGTTTATATTAAAAGCAATTGTTTTACGAAACGATCTAATAGATCTTAACGATTCGAACTATACCGTTAAACGTCTCGCTAGCTCTTTAGCTAAAAGCAAAAGCGAAAGTGCTTTAAAACTATTAAAAGCAAAGAAGAGCATCGTAAACGAGCAAAAACCTGGCCTTAATAAAAGAGCGCGCATATTATACCCTTAAGTTATTATTTAAAGCCGAAACTCGAAAAGCTAAACTATAAGCCGACCAACAAAAGCTTTTACGTTAATAACCGGCGGAGATTCAAACCGAACAATTAAAAAAAAGCTTTTAAACCTTTTTAAAGCGAGCATTAATAATAAAAAATTAAATTATAAATACTTTAAATAAAATTCCGACTTTAATAAAAAGCATTCATTTATTAATAGCCGTATTAAAAAACGCGCGAAGATATACGCAAGTATTAATAAGCTTCTTTTAAACAACTTTCGCGCCGATTCGAACCGCTATTCGCGCGTTTTAAATTTTATATCGACTTTTTAAGCTAATAGCGAACTCGTACGCGAAGATAATAAAGATTACGAGACATTGTACGCTATTATAACAGCTGCTACTTCGTTTAAGCTATTATTAAAACAGCTTAACTCGCAAAAACGAAAACATTTAAAACCTTTTACTTATTAAAAAAAGCTATAACGACACTTATATAACAAAAAGTTCAAGAACGAAGCTTTTATAAAGCTAAATAATCTAAAGAAAAAAAACTGCTAAAAAGTGATTTTCGAAAGCGAAGCTAAATTAAAACTTATACTTTTTAAGTAAGTATTTATATATAAAACTAGCTCGTCCGAAAAGATCGTAAAGTTTAGATCGAAGATTATTATTAAAAGTGACTTTTAAGACGAATTTATTATTTATTCAACTTACGCGATTACGCTAGCAGCTAGATCTTTTAAGATCATAATAATTATAATAGCCGAATTTAATTTAAAAGTAAAACAATTCGATATCGTTAACGCTTTTATTAACGCTATAAGACATACGGATAACGTTTTAATTACGTATTATCTTTTTAACGGTTTTAAATAAAAAAATATACTCGTAAAAGTCGATAAAGCTTTATATAAACTCAAAGACTCGCTAGCTTTATAATATTTCGACTTTACAAGCACACTCGATAAATTAAAGCTTATATTATTCGATAAAAAACCGTGTATTTTTACGAATCTAAATAAAACAATCTTTATAGCGTTTTACGTAAACGATATTCAACTTATATACTATCACTTTAATCTTTTTAAAGCACAAAAGATCATTAATAGTCTTAACAAAGCGTATAAGATCGAAGCGATAAGAGATATTAAATAGTTTTTTAATATAAAAGTCGTTCGAAACCGTTAGCGAAGAACGCTAACGCTTATGCACGACGCTTATATTGAAAAAATAATTAAGAAATTCGAACTTACGAACGGACGCTACTTAACAACTTTATTACCGTTTTATAATTTAATTAAAAATAAAAACATAGCTTCGCGGAAGCAAGTAAAAAAGTATTAAAAAAAAGTTAAATCCGTGTTATATATAGCGATCATGCTACGCTTAAATATAGCTTTTGCAGCTTCTTAACTCTTTTACTTTAGCATTAATCTAAGCGCGGAGCACTTCCGAGCTATAAACTAGTATCTGCGATATTTATTTAACTCGCGCTTTAAAAGTATTTAATACAGCTAGTTTAGCAAATCAAAGCTAGTAATAGCTTTTAACGCTTCTTACGCCGATAACGAAAAAACAAAGCGATCTTTTTAAAAGTATATTATGTTTTTATTCGAAAATGCGATCTTTTAAAAAGCTTTAAAGCAAAATACAATTATTATATTATCTATTAAAGCAAAGCTTTTTAATATAGCCTTTATAATAAAAAAGACTATAGCGCTTTAACGGTTTTTCAAAAAGCTATACTTTCGTTTTACGGCGCTTTAAGTAATCTATTATAATAATCAATAAACAATCAAGCTTATAGCTAATAAAAAAAAGCGTATCTTTATTAAGCTTCGCTACGTCGATATTTATAATATATAGCTGCGCTAAAAGCACTTCAAAAAGAGCTTTTAAGTTTAATATCTTTTTATTAAAAAAATGCACGCTAACGGTCTTATAAAAAACTTAATTCGATAAAAGTTTAAGAGCTTTATTAAGCTTTTAAATTTATAAAACGCTCGCGCGTCAATCGAAAAGCTTTAATAACACGCATATACTATTTACTTATTATATTTCATTTTTTTTCATTTATACGTAATTTAAAAGAAAACATTTATTTAACAATCTTAATCGTTATTTTATTTTATTTTACACGCTTTTACTTTTCGCTTTTTATAATAAAAGATCGACTAAAGCTCTTAGCAATCTCTTTACTTTAGCTCGGCGCTTCGTAAGAGTCATAGCAATAGCGAGCGCCGCCGCGAAAGCGATAAGCGCAACGATTAGCGTAAAAAAAGCGACGATAATAAGTGCGACGAAAGCGACGGTAGCTACGAAAGCGACGAAAGCAGCGAAAGCGACGAGAGCAATAAAAGCGGCTAGCGCAAGCGTAAAAGCTGCTATAGCAGCAGATTAAAGCCTTTGTATAAAGTCCGAAAAGAAGTTTTAATTAAAAGAAGCTGCTTAAATTAAATTATTTCGTAAGTTAAAAAGCTTGACTTACGAAAAAGTAATATACTCGAAGCGCTTCGCGTCACCGGACCACGGTTCGCTGCTACAAGACTATTTAATTTAACAAAAGCTATATTCAAATTAAAAGTCTTAAAAGCAAAAGTAAAACCTGCAAAGTTACCGGAACTACTTTTAAAACCTTTACTTTTATTCGTTAAACCGCCCGGACTACTAGTAGCACCTTTTAAAAAAGCAGCATCTAAAGCGAGCTATTATCGCATAGCATCTCGAAGATTTCGGCGAACTTTTTATATAATATTATTATCTTTAGCGCTTACGAAGTTATCGAAAGCGGTATTAACAGCGGCAAAAGCAGCGGTACAATTATTATAACTACTTTTAATATACCGAAGACAGCGAATAACGTTCGTATCGTAATTATAGCAATCTTTATTAAACTTCGATATAATCTTATTATTAATACACTTAATGCACTTTAAAGCCTTAACAATCGTTAGCATAAGCAAGCGCTTAATAAAAAGGTTTAAAAGAAAAAGCGAAGCTTCGGAAGTAAGAATACGTAATATAACCGCCGCAGCCGCCGCAGCTGCAGCAATAGCAATAGCTAAAGCAAAGAAAGGATTCTCTTAATAATTAGTATAAATATATTAATTTATTAAAAGCACTTACTTTTAAACGGCTTCGGCCGCGCTTAACAATTCTATTAAACTAAGTTACTTGCTTAAAAAGCATTATATAAATAAATAAAAGTTAAGTGTTTATTATAATAAAAAAAAACGCGCTCTTACTTATATAGTAACGCGATAAAAACGGCGCTAAAGACTTCCGTTACGTAATAAGACCGACTTAAGAAAGAATTGCATTTTTAACTAACACTTAATTAATAATAACAACCGCTATTTGTTTGTTTAAACTACGATAACAATCTCTTTTATTTATATCGAGTTTAAAAAACTTAATCACTTATTTTTTATCTTTTTTATTTGCTTGCAGCTTAGCAGCTACGCTATTAACTTAAAAAGTGTATTATACGGAATAAGTATAATTCTACTTAAGCTACATGTAATATATCATATAACCTCGCTTAATAGCGCCCTTAACACACTAAAGCTTTTAAGTACATGTATATAAATCTTAACGAGCTTCTTAAATAGAATATACCAAGCTTCATTCAATCTATAGAATCTCCTTTTGATCTTAGTGCTAGTAAGCGCTACAATAGCGTATAGATTTCCGTGCTTAACTTTAGCAACTCGAAAAAAAGATCTAGCATTTTTAAACGTATCGATAAGCTTTTTAAATCTTTTAATAAGCTACGTATCGATAAAAAAGATACTAAAGGTATAAGAATCGTTAAGAGCGCGCTTAAAAGTACGGATATTATTAAGTTAAAGCCTTAGCCGGTGACTCGAATAGCTTTAGCGATTTTAACGATGATCGACGAAAAAGAAACGGAAAAGATTAGCAAAAAAATCGAAAACACGGATACGGAAAGAGTAAGAACGGCTTTTTTAAACTATTAAAAGGATTCGGAAACGGACTTTTAAAAGACCTCGGATCCGGAAATGAGCTTCTTAAAGACCTTAAAAAGGTAAGACTTATAACCGGCAATTATATCGGTAACCTTTTACCGATCCGATTATTAGTTAAGCACGGCACGTTTGCGTATAGCATTCTAAGCGCTTTTAACGATAATAAAAACGATTTCTTTAAATTAAAAGCAACGGACTTTTATTTAAAAGCAAAAGAATTAGCTTTGTTTATAAGAAGCTTCTTTAAGAAGCTAAAGTATTCGAAGCTCGACGATGACTTTAGAACTTAATTAAAGATTTTTATTAATTAAGCAAATCGGTACGGTTTGATTTTAAACGACTACTTAACGGCGTTTTTTATTGTGCTTACGAAAGAAGCTATAACTTTTTATTATAATTATATAATTAAAGCTAAGCTTTTTACGTTTAAGGCGAACGCTATTGCTATAAAAGATCACTTTAAGATTGACTATCGGCGGTAAGCAAAATACGACCGCTAAAAAGAAATTTCGTTAGATTTAGTTAAAAAGGAGAATTTAGAAACTTCGCTTAGCGAGTGCTTTAAGAAGCTCGCTAAAGAGCTTAAGAGCATTTAAAGCTTATTACGACCAAGTCTAAGAGACGATAAGAGCTTTGCCGATAAGCTGTATTTAGCTTGTAAAAACGTGCTAAAGACTATTATTACACGAATAAACTTTGCGTTCACTTTTACCGCCGCAATTGCCGATATTCGCAAAGCTATTGCGTTTGCAATTAAGACCTTTCGATCTTTCGTTAAAGCTAAAGCTTACGCGAGTTCTAACGAGTTATACGATTATACTTGCTTTTATAACACTTTAAAAGCTGACTCCGATTTAAATAAAGAATACGAATGCTTTATTTAAGACCGTTAATACTTCGAAAGTAAGAAAGCTATTAAAGCTATTAAAAGTAAGAAAAAGTGTTTTGTTTGCAAGAAACTAAGTTGCTAGAGCATTAACTATACCTTCGACGAAAAGAAGGCATCCGTCGTTAAGTTTTAAAGCTTTAAAGACGCAAAAAAGATGACGAAAAGCAAATTCTTTTAATACGTAGCGTCGATCGAAAGCTTGCTATTTATATTTATAAAAGAATTCGATCAATTTATCGCAAGCTTATTAGACGAGCCGCTCGAATCGAGCAGCTACGCTAATATATTAAAAGGTTTTATAACTATTTACGGCACTTTTAACGCTGACGAAGTATATAAGCAATTAGAAATTCAAACGGCATTTTACGCTTTTATTAGCTAAATCGAAACTTAAAACGTGCTCGCAGGCAAAGCAAAGACTTATATAGCTTTTAAGTACTTTGAAAACGTCTTTATAAGCCTTATAATCGATAGCGGAGCAGCTAATTTTTTTACCGCTAGCTTGCTTTAGCTACGAGCATTTTAAAAAAGATACTTCGAAGTTTAATTGAATATATCTCGAGCAAAAGAAAAGTCCGTTAAATACGGCATCGGTTTTACTACTTTTATTAAAGCAATTACTTTAAACACTCTTTTAAGTTAAGTAAAGTTCTACGTTATATGTGACGAACTGATGAATTCTGACCTTAGAATACAAAGTGAGGAGAGGAAACAGGAAGCTCGGGGAGCTCAGGAAGGTCTATATACATGGCTGCAAGCGCTAGGCCTGGACGGGTGATCAGCTGACTGCAGGTAACAAGGCAGGCTGTCACACTACCCCTTTAGAGAGCGGTCCTAGCTCTCTCAAAAAGTACTTGACAGAGGAAGGAAAAAATAAAAAAATTCAGTCGTGAACTATAGTTCACGGGTGGAATTGCTAAAAAAAAACCAAAAAAATACGCCGAGGCTATAGATCGCGATAATCGTCAAGGTCAGCGTCGTAGCCTCTAGAAGCGTTCTATTCCGCTAAAATTTCCTCCCTCTCGTCCGAGTCAAACTCGCTTAAACTCTCATTTTCCTTGATAGGTCGGTCCGAAAAAAGGTCCTAAAGAACTCGCTTCTTTGTCAAGGGCTTAGCTGGAAGGAGGGTACAGCTAGCTATCTAATGGTCGATTGCACCGCAACGAGTATAGCGATTTGATTTGCGCTAAGCTTCGCGCTGATCAAGAGTGCTATGAGGAGCATGCTAGAGAGTGGGGTATCGTTCTTCCAACAGCTGAGTTTGGTCAGCCTCGTGAGCGTCGATAAGCTCTATAGCGCCGAGCTCGTTAGCGTGCTGTAATTGCTCGAGTTGTTGAGCGCGTTCGACTGCTGAAAGGTCCATTGGGTCGCCGGGGGGAGGGCCCGTTGACGTGCGAGGGCGGTTTTGAAGAGGGGCCGAAGGTGCCGAAGGTCGAGAAAATCCGTAGGACGGGCCGGAAGGGCCGGAAGAGCCGGAAGAGCCGGAAGAGCGTCCAAGCTGCTGAGTGACGTACACGTATTCAGTATACGTAGTTAGGAGAGTCAATTGGCCATTTAGACGGGTCCGTATAGTTGAGTTTAGACTATTGCGGAACGCAATAATCTTATTAGCGTCGGGCCAGGTTTGACAGCGAGCAGCGTGCAAAAGTCGTTCGAAGCGTAAGACGTAGATATAGAGAGCGTCCGTACCTTGCTTGCAAGCAAGCAGCTTATCCTTAGCTTCTTGAATTTTATTTAGATTATCGTAAGCGAGAGCGAGCTGATCTAAAAGAGTATTGTAGTCTTAATTGCCGGAGTCTTGAGCTAAAGCCAATTGAGTCAAAACCATTGCTTAGAGATCGGGTTCCATATTAAAGTAAACGTAGTAGAACTGCGCAGTAGGTCCGCTAAGAGCCTCACCGTCGACAAGAAGCTTGGCCTTAATTGAAGGGAGCCAAGTATCTTACCGCTGAACCGTACCGTTGAACTTATCAAGATTAAGAAAGACGCATTTGCGCTGGCGAGGGGCCATTCGTAATTGCTCTACGAGGGACTCTAATTAAGCGATTCTCGTAAAGGGAGAAGGGCCGTCGTTTTCGTGGGAGGACATGGTGGTAGAAATAGGGGGGGCGTTTAAGTGTCGGAAACGTCAAGAAAAGAGTAAGGAAGAGAGTTCGTCTTGCAACCGAAGTGCAAAAATTAAAGGAGGGAGCTCTTTTAGGTCGGAAGAGCTGAAGAAGAGGTGAGGTCGTAAAAAAGACAATAATCTGTAAGCAATAAATGAAGACCGTGGAGCACCCAATAAGTAACTCACTCCGTTCTTAACAATAATCAATAAGCCGTAATCTGTAACAATAAGCAATAACAATAAGCTGTAATACGACGACCTAATCGAAGGACTTTGTATAATGTGACGAACTGATGAATTCTGACCTTAGAATACAAAGTAAGGAGAGGAAACAAGAAGCTCGAGGAGCTCAAGAAGGTCTATATATATGGCTGCAAGCGCTAGGCCTGGACGGGTGATCAGCTGACTGCAGGTAACAAGGCAGGCTGTCACATTATAAAGAGCGACGTACTTTTCTTATTCTTATTAATTAATATAAATAAGCATAAAGTGATTTTGAATAACTTGCGGAACGTGTTAGTTTAAAAGAAAAAAGAAATACTAATAGTAAAGATATTTAAGTACGTATAGATGCTATTAAGTAAAGAGCACGCTGCTACTTATTATAATATCGAAAGCGAGACCGTTTATTATTACTTTACGGAAGAGCAATTAAAGACTATCTATAAGCGTTTTAATTACTTTTTAACAAGTCGATTTGCTACCGTTCTTAAGAAAGCCGAGCACGAATTTAAACGAGATTTGCTTTATAATATCTAAAAGTTTTGCTATTATTGTTAAGTATTCGGACGTTACTCGAAGAAGTTTAATATTAAGCTTAAAGATGATATTGATTTTAATAATACGGTATACGTAAACGTAATATACTTTAACAGCAAGAACGTATTGCACGTCGTTTGCGATTCTATTAATTTTCAAGCCGCTATTTTCTTTAAAAGCATATTCGTATAATACTTATTTAAAAGATTCAATCGATGTTAAGTTAATACTTACGTCGGACTTTTTATAAACGTCGTGCACGATCTCGGAACCAACTTTAATTTAGCAACGTTTCGAAGCTATTTTAAAAGTATTAATAATATTTTAAAGCAGATGCTTATAAAAGCTTATTATAGCGTCGGGCTAATAGAACGTTATTACGTCTTTATGCGACGCGCTTTTAAGATTATTATAAAAGAGCTTCTTAAGGCTTTAAAAGAAGATCGGCTTTAAATAGCTATTAAAGCTATCAACGATACGGCGGGACTTAATAGCTTGGTCTTTACGCTTTTCGTCTTTAGCACTTTATTAAGGCTAACGGAGCAAGATCGACTTGCCGTATTTACTTAAGAGCGTGCTGCTGTTATTAATAAAGCTATAAAAGAAGTACGAAAATGCTACGCTGCGAAGCAAGTTAAGAACGCGCTTAAGAGAAAGAATAGATTAATTACGAAGCATATTTTAAACCTTTTTATTAGTTCACGAGTACTCGTGTAATAAGAAAACTAAAAGTGGAAAGGCCTTTTTCAGCTGCTTAATAAATAAAAGCATACGTGTATAATAGCATATCCGAGACTTACGGAATTCAAGTCAACCTTAGTAAAACCTTATTACTTTAAAGTTAAAAAGCTGTTAAAAGAGTTGGAATTGTAAATACTTGAAGTAAAAGTAGAAAAAGATTAAAGCGAAAGCGAAAAGGAGTTAGAACCGCGAAGTTCGCTTAAACCTTAATATTCGCTTAATCTAAAAAGCTCGCTAAGATTAGCAAATAGCTTTTTCAACTTTTAATTTATTAATTTTTAAAGATTAATAATATTAATAGTTTAGATACTTTATTAGAAATACGATCTTAGTATCTCGACCGTGCTCGACGAAAAAGAAGGCGATTCTTACGTTTTATTTACTAAAGACTTCGAAGTGTTTATTATTAATAAAGAACGCTAAGACTATAAGCTTTTAGTTAAGCTACGAGCCGAAAGAGTTATTAAAAGCTTTAAAGCACTATTTTAAAAGTCTAAAGCAAAAGAATTAGCTAGATTAATAGCTTAAAGCATCTTTTAAGTGATCTTAAGCACCGATCTACGTATTAAAAGCGTTAAGATCTTCGGATTTAAGTTTATTAATAAGATTAAAAGCAAAAGAACACTTACGCTATACGAGAAGTCTCGTATAATAGTTTAAGCCTTTTAAGACAAAAGCAAGACGAAAGTACTCACCGAGTCACTTACGGTACAACGAGCGGGCTAAAGACTTTATTATGCTTTAGCTTTTTTTTTAATAAAAGACTACGAGTATTAAGTCTATAATAAAGATATCACTTAAGCTTACACTTAATTAAGCACGAAGCTCATTCGAATAATCGTCGTACGACTACTTAAAAAGATCACTTATCGATTTCTTTCCGGCATTTTGTTCTTTATGACTAACCTTTTATACGAGATTTTCGAAGCAAGAACGCATTAATATAAGCGTTTTTTAAAGCATTTTACGGACAACTTCGAGATAAAGCAATCGAGCTTTGATTCTTGCTTTTTTATATCAATTAATAAAGATCAGCTAAGAATAGCTGCTTTATAAACGGATAATATTCTTATAATTATTAATTCAATTATAAAAGCAAAAAAAGAAAAAGAGCTGATCAAATCCAAGTTAAAGAGCAAAGAAATAGAGATCTTTATATACGCCGAACCGATGATTTTCAATAGATGCAAGCTATTTTTAAATAAAGACGGGTTCGGAATATTAATTAGTTAAAAAGAGCAAAGTAAGAAGCTTGCCGTGATCAAGCTCGATTTAGCTATACGAGTTAAAGAGTACTTAAAGCAACGTGCTCGAAAAGCGTATTTAATTACTATTTGCTACTTAAAAGCATCTTGTGCTTTATCGATAGCTGCTTAATATTAAGAACCGAAGGACGAAGACTATAAAGCTTTTAATAAAGTGATCTAGTAGCTAATCGATCATTTAATACGAAGGATCTATTACGTGCTTTTAGACTTAAAAACAGCGAAGCTCTTTGTGTTCGTAGACGAAGCGTTTGCTAACAACGCTGACCTTAGCTCTTAAATCGGTTTCGTAGCTATCTTTAATAATAAGGCTTACGTAAGTGAAAACGAGTTCACTTTAACGAGTAATATCTTTTATTAAGTATTATAGAAATGCAAGAAGGTGACAAGGGCCGTATTAGCTTTTAAGCTTTACGCTATGTCTTTAAGTATCGATATAATTATTATTATATCGACTACTTTTGCTTAAATCATAGCTTAGCTAAAAATCTTCAACTTCTCCGTAGTAGTATGCACTGACTCTTACTCGCTTTACGAGTGCATAATAAAGCTAAGAATTACTAAAAAGAAGCGCTTTATAATCGATATTATAGCTATTCGAGAATTATACGAGAAGCGAGAGCTTTTTAAAGTACGCTAGATCGGAAGAAAATCTAACCTTGCTAACGCTATGACTAAAATCGAAGCTAATACCTTTTTACAAGAGCTAGTTTTGACTAATACCTTAAAGGTGCAAGTGGATAGATAAGTAAAAAGGCCGCTGTAAGAAAAAGAAAGATAAGATTGTTTTTCTTTTATTTAATCACTTTCCTTTTTTTTTCGATCGATATAATAATTAGCAAAGCACTGCTTGCTAAAGAGAGAGTTGCCGGTGTCGGTATATCTATATCGACTTTAGCTAGCTAGTAGTAGTAATTAAAGAAGCTCACTCGTAAACTATAGTTCACGGGCTATTTAGCATGCCTCGCTTAGCATGTCAGCAGTCAAAGGACCTTCAACTTGACAAGTAGGCTTATTAGTTAGCTAGTGCACGTGATTCCTTTTAATCTTATAAAAGGAATCAGCTCCTTTGAGTCTTAAGGAGCAGACAGAATTCAAATACTTTATCAACCGAGTGTTTTGCAATTGCAAGTACTTTGACGACCGTTACGACCTTACGAATATATTCCCAATCGCTTGGAAGCAATCCAACATTTAGTATTACAAGAGCTATATTATATTCTTTATTAGCGCTATTAATTAAATATTATGCTATAAATAATTCTTTTGCTACTTTTTAAACCTTTTAAGCGAAATTCAAAGATTATAAGTATTTAATTATTAATAAAAAGTCAATGATTAATTTAAAAGACTTCGCTCGAATTTAAAAACGCTATGCTTAGATTTTCTTTAAATCTTAAAAGCTATTTAAAAGTTTGAGTATTTACTTTTGTAGTGATTTTTATTAATTACCGCTAGTTAGAAAGAAGTCTTTATTTATAACTTACAACTTTTCGCCGGAACAAAAGATCAGTTAGTCTTTTTATCGATTATTTAACAAAACTATTCGATTTAAAGTTATTATGCGTTAAAAGAGCGAATCTTTAAAAGCTATTAATTTCCGTAAAGCACTTTTAAAACTTCGAGAAAATAACCTTTCGGTAGATAGCTAAGAACTCTTTATATCTCGAGCTAAAATGAATATCCGGCCGGCTAATAAAGATTTTTTTAAAGATGCTTTTCGTATTTACTTTACGAACGCGGAAATTAAAGAATACAATTACGAGCAGCTAAAAAAGCTAAACGCGCTTATCTTAAAACTCAAGTCAAAGAATACGAGCAGCGCGAAAGCTTATAACGCTAATTAAAAGGAAGCTAAAAGCTTAAAGCAAAGCATTGATATATGTATTAAAGCTAAAGTGATATTGAATTAAAATCTTTAAATAAAAATAAAAATAGTTAATAAGTCTATAAGAATAGTTAAAGATATCTTTTAAAAAGTAAAGGCTAAACTACGTAAAGAACTGCTATAAGGCATTATGATAAAGATCGAGGATTATATTAATTTTACTTTCGAAAATACTAAATAGTTCTTAATATTTATTATAAATCGAGACTTTTTTTACGATAATAAGCTTTACAATCGTCGGCAGCTGCTTC